AAGGTTGAATGTACCGAGGAAGCGAAAGGAGCTGGAAGCTCTGGTGGTGTAATTGTTGCAGGATTTGCTTTACTCCAGAACTTTAAGTTTCTCATCTTAAATCTATCTTTGCTTGACTCGCCACTGATTTGAAAGCAGTGACTGAATGAACCACCAAGTGGTTGGTGGTATCTTGGGGATTATTTCTGTTTGGTAACACACCAGGCATAATTTCAGGAAGCTGTTGCCTACTTCTCTTGTGTTTTTCCTGCTGTGGGAGACGTGTTGCCAGACCTCTTGGCAGCCAGCTCTGACGGAAGCAGTTCATGCAATAACCAGCAGCCTAGGCAACCTGAAGCAATAGTTGCCTATGCTATTTTTTTGTTGCCAGATCACTGCTGCTTGTTCTATGTTTAGAGCTATATACTGCACTATTTCTTAGCAAAATGGATTTATCTTTCCCCTCGCACTTCTGCAAAAACTGCAGTATTTGACAAGTGCACCTTAATACCTGCTGTACTAAGAGCTGCTGGACAATCATAAATAATTGACCTTTGAGCAGCTCTGACATATTTCATATTTTCCCCTGCATTTATTAGGTGTGAAATTATTAATTTCTCACTTATCCTTTCTTTTTGGTTGCTACTTAAAATCAAATAGTACAGGTTTTGGGTTTGTTTTGTTAGAACAGTTGAGTTTCCCTTTCTACATTTCTTGCAAAGCTGACCTCAGCAAAGAAGAGTGAAGGATGGTTTTTTTTCTATCTCTTGTAGCTGTGAGAAGCCCATGGAACAGGGAAGGGAACATTAGGAAAAGACAGGGGTGTACAGAATTCATAGAATCATAGAATCAGCTAGGTTGGAGAAGACCTTTAAGATCATCAAGCCCAACCAGAAGGTTGTGCAGCTTTTGAAACCACAAAAAGTAGATGCTTTAAAACACTAGCGAGCAGAACACTGAGCAGAGCCATGTGCTGGGCATGTACATGTAGTCATCCTGACACCTGCTTTACCTCCAAAGCTGAGTAGAAGGGGAGAAATGCTGGGCATATCGTATTTGTACTGCTCTATGACACAGTTAGGTTCAGTCATCCCTTTTTTTTTCCTCATTCTTTTGAAATACTTTAGAATTATTTTTGTCACTGTTCAATTAAGTTTTAGTTTGCAAATTTCATGGCTTCTTTCAGTATCAAATACAATTATTGTATCCCTTCCAAATCTGTGCTTTTTATAAGTTTCATGTAATATTACATACTTGATTAAAACTCCGGCAGGCCAAGTACAGATTTTATTCAAAATGCTTTACTAACGAATACTCATAGAACCATGGTGACTTAATGTTGAAGCCCAGCTTTGCTGTACAGATTTCCAGAAGTCTGTTTTTTATCTCCAAAATAGCAAGTCTTTTGTTCCTTTATGCCCATTCTTCCGGTTTCCTGGGAATATTTATCTGTTTTCTTTGCAAATACCACCTACAACACATCACTGCAACAGTGGCATTAGGAACATCTGATTCACACAGATCCAGATGACTTAGGAGCATCCTTCCAATGTATCAGTGGACATACTGCATCTGCTTAGTAATATTTAAGTTTTTCCTAGCTGTTGTTGGTGTGGATGGACTAATTTATGGACTAAAAATAACTGTAGATGTGTGATGCTGAGCATCCACTGACAGAAATATCAATGACACACTAAGCATCAATCTGGACGGCATCCTGGGGAGTCTGCTGATGACGTGGAGCCTCTCTGCTCAGTGAAGCCTTCGGCTGTGCGGAGATGTGTGGCAGTGCTGCAAGTGTGTGTGTGGTTGTGACACTCGGTCCAATAGGAGGATCAGTGAAATGTGTGGTATGGCTCTATCTTTGCTGTATCTAGAAAGTGAATTGGGAGAGTTCCGTTTGGTCTGTGGATCTTCTACCAAGCATTGCTGATGTTTGAAGAGCTGTGTAAATGCTGCCAGGGTTACCCCTGGGCCTTTGTTGCTGTTTTTAAGCTAGATCACCATTTTGAGGGTGGATGAGCTGGTTGTTAATGCCAGGTTTTGCTTGCTAATGAGGCCCCAGCTGAGGGCAAAAGTGACTTTTTAGCTTGCTTTTTTAATGCCTCTGCTTTAATGTTGAAGACACACCCTGAAGCCTGTGGACTGCTGAGTGGCCTTTAAACACCTGGTGTTTAAGGTGAAGATGGCAAAATGTTTTTAGCAAGGAGATTCCTAGATGGATAGCACCATAGAAACTGCTGTAGAATCTAGAGGACAAGCTGAAGCGCTGTCTTTATTTTCAGAGGAGACTGGTCATTAAAATGATCAAAGAACATACTTATTTTGGTATTTTGTTTCTGATAATAGTTTTAACTACTAAACAAAGAGAAGGTTATGTTCTGGCTAGAAAACTTAAGTGTTCAGAGCTGTGGAAGGCATACTAAATTTCTCTGAATTAAGCAATAACCCTCCAGCCCCAAACTTTAACCCCAAATTAACCTTAAAGAACTTGCTAATACATTTTTAAGAGGGTTGATGGCCTCAGCATGTTGAGAACAATCTGGTATCGAAACATTATGTTTAAAAACAGTAAGAACAAACTGAATCTTAATTCCTGTTTGATTTAGGAAGTGAGATCCAGGGCGTATTCGGTTTTGTGATGCTGATCTCCGTGTTTTAGGTGAGATCTTTTCACATGGCTGCTGGAGCATGACAAACAGTGGCATATAACCGATCATAAGTCCTTGACCTGTACTAGGAAATACTGTAGAGTTCTTCAGGAACTGCTTTTCTTACCTTTGCCATTTGTAGCTCACAAAGCATCTTACACAAGCTGTGTAGTAATACAGAAGATGCATGTACTATACAATGCAGAACTGTATTGTATTCTACAACTGCATGGAGGAGAGCTACAACTAAGAAGCAGTAGATAACCAAACAAAAACATATCATCAATATGTACTTGAACTATTCAGCTTTAGAACAGCTGACTCTGCTTAATGTTTGGATAATGGTAAGCAACTTCCTTTGTCCTGAACTGCTGGCTGTTATTTAGATGGAATCTTAAAATAGAACTGGTACTGGCATGACAAAAAAGCACAAATACCTGTTTCTGAAGAGCCTTTGGGTTTGTATTACTTCCTCAAATAGATTTAGCTGTGGAGATCATTCTTGGTTCAATGGTTGCTCACCTCAGGCTCCTATAGTGTATTTATTCTGTTTTGTCTGTTTGGGGCAAGGTGTTCTAAGTGAAAGTGGAAGAATAAGGCCAGAACTTAGGTGAAATCTCTGACTGTAAGGTTATACTCAATTCCATATTAAGCAGAATATTACTTGCCTGTAAGTTTTGTTTGAGCCAAAAAAAAAAAAAGATAAGGAAAAAGTTGCTTAATAGGTGCATATATACACAAACATACAGAACATTCTAGTTTACACAGATGATAAATACCATGGAAGATCTTTGTAAGGGTAAAACTGTTCTTTCAAGAAGCAATCATTTTGCTGATAACAAATCATTTTAATTGTGCAAGGAACTACATGTTTCACAAACTTCACATTGGATCTGACCAATAACTAATGAGAATTGCATCTTAAAGTCATACTGGTGACTGTTGATGTAAGAGTTTCTACTGTAGACATATCTGTCTGCTGGTGTTACAGGAGCTTGTAGAGGAGCTTTGCAGTAGCTTGAATGTAAAATTCATAAAAACATCCCAAGGCACAGTTATCCTCATCACCCTGTAAGGCCACAGTAGAATTGACTTCTCACTGATAGTGGTGATATATAAAGGCTTTTTTATCACTAGAGGATGGAGTTCATAGAATTTAAGACATTCATCTCTCATCTGTCCTTTTTATATCTATCAAAATTGTAAATATACCAGAGTAGTAATATAAAGATTCTCAGTCCTTGGACTCTTCTTCATCTGTGACCAAAAGGCTGCTGTTTAATTTCATCGGAAATCAGGGTCTTTGGCATGGGCTGTAGAATAGAGGTCTGGGACACTGAAGGCATCAAATGGCCCCGGAGAGGTTAGTAAATGATAGCTACACTATGTTGCAGTCAGTTCTTTATTTCATCATGAGAATTTTATAGTAGGAAAAGACTTGAAAAGAAGGGTTGGAAATAAGGAAACTACTAAAGAGATTTCTGTATATACAGATACTGTCTCACTGCATGTTTGTGGAAAAGTATAAAGTAGCTTCTATCCTGCAGTAGTAGTATCTTGATAAAACCTACATATACAGCTGTATGTTTGGCCTCCTGAATAATTAAGGTCCTGTGTAAATTAATTCATCTTTAGTCTTCCTTTTACTCTGACAAAGATCATGGAAGAACTTCTCCAGTCTTGTTTGGTGGTTTATTGCGTGAAGGCACAACAGTGATCACAGTACTGCACCCTGCTCTACAGAGCTGCTGACAGAACTGAGCAATGTGGCTTGCACGCTTTTTACTCTGTTTTTTACAGGCATGTCATCCTTGGTGAGAAGTCTGTGACAAACATGTACTCTGCTTAAAGTGCTCTAACAGGCTCTTCTTGCAATAACAATGACATTTCAGACTTAAAATGTAGCTTTAATAGTCATGGTGTTTGAGAAAAAGGAGTGTGCATGGGCTGCCTGGAGCTCTGGAATCCCTCTTTGTGTGTGCATGTGATATTTATATATCTATGCTTATCTGGGAATACACACTTCATTGGAAAAGTTCTTGATCTCACTTATGCCAATTACTGCATGAAGTTATTTCTGATTTTCATAAACACAGTTTAAATCAGACTTGGGATTAGTATGCATAGATAACATGAAATGCTACCAATGGCCAGACGTCCAACTGCTGTGTACTGACATTGACCCTTCTGAGGGCAATGAAATAATTATGCAACTTAAGTATTGAGCTCTAAAGGTTTATGTACAGTAAAATACATAGTCACTCCCCTGCCTGAGTACAGGGAACCTCCAGATATGATTCTGATCGTTGTTTTAACAGGTATCCCAAGCTGTTTGTGAACTTAATTTCTTTGTTTTTCCTCTCTTCTCAGTGTTGGAGCACTGGTGGGCCTGTCAATAGCAGCAGTGGTCCTCTTTGCTTTTATCATCACTGTGTGTGTTCTCTGTTATTTGTTTATCAGCACGAAGCCACGCAGCAAACTGGATACTGGTTTAAGCTTACAGATGGCAGGTAAGACCAGCTGTTATTGACATACGTGATCTCCTGCAGAGATAAAGCCTTATTCTGTCTTTAAATGGAATCCCACAGTGTGTATTTCTCATGGGGACCTCAAGATGTAGACAAGCTATTCTGCTATTTTACCTTCTCAATGCAGTGTGTACCACATGCAAGTAAAAAACATGAACACGAGCTCAGTGTATTTATTCAGGAGTAGGAAGAGTAAAACTTTGCAATAGTGAGTAAGGGTGCAATAAATACATCCCTTTATTAGGAGGAGGTCTAATGAATTAGTTGCTCTGTCAAGAGTACATAAACATACAGTAGTGATTTCATTCTAGCAATAAGAATCTCACAAGAGATTTTAAGTGTATTTTCTTGTGATAGGGAGAGATCATTCTTTTTTCTTTTTTCCTGACATAGGATCCAGTCCAAATCTAAGACTTTTTGCTTCAGTCCCAATAGTCCATACCTTTGTGCCCAAACTGCATTGGCAGACACCAGCAGGAGCAGTGCATATAGCCAGCACTGGCATAGCAAAACCTGTGCTGCTGTTATATTTCACTATCTTTGTGAAATCTGACTGCAAGTTTTGATGGCAGCAAGTTTTGATGGCAACAAGTTTCACCCTTTGTCTTGGACTTCCTAAATGTTTAAATGTGGCTTCCCACACAATAAAGCTGTAGGAGGTAAAGGGAATGTGTACTTAATTAGGCCTTGGAAGTTGAAAAAGGGGAATAATGACCAATGAGTTACTGTAATTACAGCCTATTATACAGCAGGAAGTCCTCTCCTGAGTGCCTGGTTAACACAGTCCACTTCATACCAAACTTGAGTCTTGTTCTCCAAAGAATGCAGGCTTTGGTCTAAAAGTGTTTTGCAGGACCATCAGGAAGTGCAAAGCCTTCTTTTGGAGCTGTGTAAGCTGAGCAAGCTGATGAAGTGGAAGTCACACATTCATCAAACTGCTACTAATCTACAAATTGAAAACTTCACACCATCCTGCAGAGAGTGGGAATCAGACCTGCTACCTAGAGCAACCTAAATAAACTCCTGGGTGGGATGAGCAAAATGCTTAGTGATCTTTTACAAGATGGTTGTGTTCTAATTATAAACTGGCATTATGCTTTTGAACATGTTGTTGTTTAACTTCTTCCCTCAGGTTTTCCTGCTATGGCATCAGCTCTTAATCCATTGCCAGGACAGTAGTGCTGCTTTTCTCATGCTTTGTATTTTTGTGCCAGACATGGTTGGCATATGGGGAGCTGGGAAGGAGGCAGGTGCTCCTGCACCACTGCAGCTGAGTGATTCCATCTTTCTCTAAGACTCGAACCCTGCTGCAAAACCACATCCTGTTTCAGCATTAGAGATCATTCCTTTCTTCCTACCAGGAGGTGAAAAACATCCCAAGCTTCCCCACTGATGACCCAGCATTCATGTAGGCATCCTGTCTCTCGTGATTCTAGGTGTTACAACTCCAGGAAGCTGAGAGATGTTTGCTTTTTCCAAAACCGGTGTTGTTTTGAGCTTTATTCGTTGCTTTGTATTTAAACACTGTTTTGACTTTGCTCTCATCCTGTGTTCTTTCACTTTTATTATTCTGCTTCTTTGGCTGCTCTGAATGACAATTATTTTACATCTAAATTCTGGTAGCTTTAGCTGTTGATGAGGTGGGTTGCCAGAAACTGAAAGCCAGTCACTTTGCCAGGGTTGAGAAATCTTTGCAAAAGTCGAAGGATTTCATTGACAAGCCTGAGTGCTTCTCTTCATCATACCTGGTTTTCTTTTGCATGGAAGTCATGCAAGGGCTGAGTGTATAACAAGATGACTGGTTGCTGCTTTCAGGCCTGGGGAACAATAAAAGCAGCCTCTTTCCTCCTCTTTCAGTTCTTCTGAGATTTGAGCATAATCATATACAGGAATAAAAATGAATTAAAAAAATTAAAGCAGTTTTTAGAAGCTTCAGAAAATGTTAGGCCTGAGGACCATGTATTTTAACTGTGACCTCAGCTCAGCTCTGCTTTTTCTGAGCTAGCATAATCTTCTGTTTAGATGAAAGCTATGTCACACGTCAGGAGTTGTGCATCATCTGTCCCCTTGGAGCATTCAGAGAGCACTCATTCATAAAAGCAATTTTTATTATATTCAATTTCACTCATATCAGCTCAGTTGGAGTTTTGTATTTCATTAAACGTACAATTGATTATTGTATGCCTTTCCTCCTTCATGTAATAGTCAAAGTTGGTCATCGTTCCCATGGGCTCATCCAAGATCTCCTAAATATAGAAGCAGAATTGCTGAATTTTTACAGAAACGATTTCAAGATCAATCATAAATCTACCACTAGACTGGATGTGCAGCCTTTGTTAAAGTCTGAGTGCAAAAGGCACGTTGGCTGGAATTTGCCTCTATTTAGTCTTGACCAAATGTTCTTCAATGTCATCAACACAGATATTATTCTATATGAGGTTCCTGAGTTAGCTAAGCATGTTGTTAGCCCTAGGAAAAAATAGCATTTTAATCTGATTTGAATTTCAGGAAAAATGAGCTGAGTCACTGGTGTAGATGACGAGGAACTACTTAAATGTTAATAGTTACACTCATTTCTATTTGTAGTATCTTAGTGTAGAGTAGATCCCTTATATGCAAGACTGTGTCCAGGCAAATGAGAAGATCCCGTATCTCGAGGAGTTTACAGTTCAGTTTCTTAACAGATCTAGTATTTCTCAATAAAAAGCAGTAACATACTTTATGTATTTCTATGAAATCCTCTCCTTTACAGGCCACATCTCAGCTCTTTATACATCGCTTGTTTATTGGTTGCGCTCTGCCTCAGAATGTGAGGTTCATGTAGGGTTTGGCTTGTGGGTTATAATGATCTGCCTTACTAAAGTGTCGAAATACTTCAGTTCTTCCTCTATCCTCACAGTTAATGTTTTGAAGGAGGGAGATTATTAGCCCCATCTCACAGGGAGACGTAAGTGCAGGGAAGTGGTGTGTTTTTAATGCTTTGTATGTCAGTGCAGATGTTAATGTCCAGTGGAATTTTAAAAGGGCATTGCTAACTGGAAGCCCTTTGTCCTTTTGCTTATATGTCAAGACTAGCTTGACACAGGAATCCTGTGGTACAGAGAATTGAGCCATGCTTTTTGAGACCAATATTCAAATCATTGAAGCATACTTCTTAGTAAAGTGAACCTGCTTTTTAATCATACAAATTGCTCAGTGAGCCCTTTCTGAGAGAGAAGATTTTTTCATTGTTTCTCTCATTTGAAGACTGGAGAACTATAAAAGTGTTTCTTGGTAAACAAAGGCCCCAGAGAAATCGAAGCCCTGAGAATGCAAGCTTATGGATTTTTCTGAAGATGAAGGGGAATTTGGTTATACACTTTGTCCTCCTCCTAACCAAAAAAACTTCTCTTTGTGCAAAAGGTTTATCCCCTTTAAAATGTAGGGAACTATGGAGTCAGAAGATTACAAGTGTTTTGTTAAGGCTGACTGAACAGTGCCAGAGCATCTAGGGGAGATGAGGGCTGAGTAAAGATGGCACAATTGTAAGGAGAGCAGTGCTAAGCAGGCAGAAAAGGAAGATTCCGGAGGCTTATCTGCTGCTCAGCTCTGGGAAAAGATGCACATGTGCTTCTCTGGAACAGGCCGCTGATGAGAGAGGAGTGGTCACCTCTGCTGGCCCCTTAGAATGGGTTTTGCCATCAGAGGTAAAAAGGTAGATAGAGACTATCTACCTTTATGACCTTGGTGACCCAAACAGTTTGTAAACACATTTTCTGAGTTGTCCCTGTGTTTCTGCCAGCATTAGTCCTGGAGGACCCTGGAGGGGCAAGGTGTCCTATACCACTGTGAAGTGAGAATAGCAAATTAGATTTTATGATAGTAACTAACATTTTCCTCTAAAGCTCAGCACAGAAAGACCTCTCTAATGCATTCAGTGTCAGACAGCAGGGACCTTTGGGTTGGAGTGTGAAGAGAACTGTGGCCTTCTAAATTACTCATAAGTGCTGGGGAAAATGTTCTTTAATAGAAGAGATTAATTCTGTCTTCTTACACAGCAGTGACATCATAGCATGCAAAAGCTCATGATTTCATTTCATAAGGAAAAACTCAGCTCAAAAAATAGCCAGATGACCTTCCTGTCCCTATTTCTCTCCTTAATTAAAGATTCCTCATGGGACACTCTTCAAATACATAAAACATTCAGGTATTTTGATGAGAAAGCACCAAACTCTCACATTCTCCTCCTTAGCTCAGTAGTTACCTGACTGTTGGTTCTGAAACCAGAGAGTTGCTGTCTGAATTCAGTGACACTGTGCTTGTGTTTTGGAGTATGCATTGATAGCCTTGCTTTCTAGGCTTATCAGTAATTTCCACTATATGGTCTTTCTGCATCTGACCTTATATTTTCCTTAGGCTACCTTTTTCTTTGCCAGCCACCTGCCTCAGATACTTATATATGGGGAAAACCAGCCATATGGTCTCAACTGTTAAAATCCAAGCCCCCCCCCAAAGATTATTTCTTTTTTCTTTAGGAAATTAAGAACTTCCCTATTTTGGAGCTGGGAATTCAGATGTAGTAGAAGGGTAGCATTAGCTCAAAGTTCTATCACTAGGAAAGATTAAATCTGGAAATGTTTAAATTGAACACTTTAGCTTTTACATTTCCTAAACTTTCTTGTAACAGTGAGGCTTTTGCAGCTCATTGGGTCAGGTTTCATACTGCAAAGATACCTAGAGATGCTGTAAGCTGGCTTAGATATGAAATGCAGACAGGCCTCAAACCCAGGCTGTCTTCCTCTATAACTTACTAGGAATTTTATGGTTTTGCTTTTTGGGTTTCTTTTTTTTTTTTTTTTTTTCTGATCAAAGCTGAGCTAACTCACTGAAAAGACTTGGTTGCAACTAAGACCTTGGCTTAAATATTATTTTACAGAGTTTTTGAAATGTCAAACTATCAAATTCCGAACTGCAGTTTTTTCAGTTAAACAAAATAAAATGCA